GAACGATCTACTCCAAGTTTTGAAGCAAGAGTGGGCGAAAATCCCACAATCTAAAATTGACGAGATGATTCTCATATGCCCCACAGGATCAACAAACTTCACGAAGCGAAAGGAAGATCTACTAGATATATTTAAATTATAAATATATCAATTCATGTGAATATGACTGAAATTTTTCATTTTTTCTAAAAAGGTGGTGTCTATTTACTTGTGACCACGCTGTGTATGTTCAAAACTCAAAAACACAAGCCTTATAGATATATTAATCACCATTTTATGTAAAACGAATTTTGTTTTATGTTACTTTTAGCAAGCATATCAACAGAGGGCTTAATACATATGTGGCTGCTGAGGACGTTCTGAATTGGTGTGTATTATTGTTACTAGTGTTAGTAATGTTTGGCGTTGTATATATATAATGAAGAAGATAAAAATAGCTAAAATTTTGTTCATTATATTTACAGTAGAGTTTTCCTAATATAATGTTTTGCTTATTACTCATCCTCTTCTTTTATTGAGTTCAGTAGTTCTTAAACTCCATAAACGTAAAATACATAACGAAAAAAAGTAAAAAAAAAGAAAATACATAAAAGTTAAATAGTAGAAGTAAAACTTTAGAAGTTCATAAACACTAGAAGTTAAAACAGCAGTGTTACTAATGTAATAGTTCTAATATTAGCACTACTACCAGTTTTGTAGTTCTAAAAGTAATACTAATACAGTACTGACACTAATACTGTTAGTGTTACTAGATGAAGATAATGAAGGACTTTTCGACTTTATGAGTCTCGCCCGTTACCCTTATTGTGTTTAACAATTTGCCAAAATGATTAGGTATCCTGCAATATCTGGTTATCTTTTCATAGATTTTAATGCACCAGATCATAGAAATTTTATTTAGAAGGTCGTCTCCTGTAATTTGTGAGCAAATAAGACATTAAGAAAAATAAGTGTGGAAGTCTGTTGGTAATAGTACTAGTAGATGGTGACACAGATAAATATAGCATAATGCTAAATTTTTTTTTTTTCAAATGGATATAAAAACAAGTTTCTTATATTGCCCATCCAAGCTGTTATATAATTAAATATGTAAAGCATTTAGAGCAAAACAGGTGTTTCACTTTAAACTTCAGTATCAAAAGAAAGTCAAAAATGCACACAAATGCCAGGATATTAACTGTGGGGCATGAGTATTTAATTGTATATTTCATACTAGGTTATAGTAATTTTACTCTGTGCACTTTGCTCTCAAACTTCATGATGAATTAAAGTTTTTAACATTTTCACTTTGAATAGCAGATATTTCATGTCATTCAAGAGACATATTACTGTTTACCTACTTGTACTGCATATTTTGTAATCCTGTTGCATTTGTTTTTTTTAATTACATTGAACAATGATGGCTTCATGTAACTACCTTTAATGAGTTGTATATCACAATTCTAACGTCAGTTATTACTAATAAAAAATATACTGAAAACTTAAATTAGCAGAAGACAGCCTGTTATGTTTAACAAATATGATATTAATGAAATTTTTGTAACCTAGATGCACATACAGGACAGAGAACTAAAGTACAAACTACAGTGAAGCTCGCAAGTAGGAGTCCCATATGATGGTGTATACTTACCACTGTTCAATTCCTTTAGATATCTCTTCTACTAGTATACTTGTACTATTCTCATATTATACAGGTCACTTATAGTTATATTGTAATGTTTTGTTAATCTGTTATGTATACATATGTAATCCTATTTTTAGAGGCTATATATTATGCTATTTAAATATTTAATTTAATTATTATACTTGAACATATATATATATATATATACCTGTGTAGTAAGATACTCATATATATATATTTTGTCAAAAGGACTTTACCTTTCTATGTTTTTAAGATTGTGTTTTTACAAGTTTTTTTTTACCCATTCCTATTCACCCTCAAGCTTAGTTTATAATTGCATAATTTTGTTAGCATCAAGCTAATATTAATTCCCTCCTTTTTCAGTACTCCAGGTGTTTGTAGCTAAAGTTTGAAGATAGGGTATTGAATTTGTTTGTCCAGGAGTGAAACTCTTAGTGTGAGACCTTGTGGGGGTGAATCATCTCTGAAGCCAGAGCTATTTTTGTCACATTTGAATAAATTACAAGTTTAGAAAACCAATTTTAAGCAATAATTACAAAGTTAATAGTTTCTTGACTTTTTATGGATGAGAATAAACATTTTGATGAATAATGCAAGCACAGTCAGATTCAATAAGAAATTGTTATGATATATCTTTGTCTTGTATTGAGTAAGTGACTTCCCAGCACATTGGGATAGTTGCTGACTTTAATCTTTGTGTGGAAAATTTTGAATATTCTTTGTGGGTGGTGTTTCTTTGTAAATTAGCAGGAAACCGTAATGCTTTGGGAAGTTATTTAAAAATATCCATAGCAAGATACTGATTCATGTGTATGTTCCAAAGAATTGATTAGAAAATGCCCAAGTTGGTTCCTGAATATTTTTCAGCCTGCCTAAAACTAAAATAGCCCTTCCAAAACACATGGGAAGGTGGGTGTCTAGCTAACTAACCAATGTATAAAGATCTTTTTGAAATAAATCATTAACACAATTAGAAAGTCTTTCGATTATCCTTTGATCCCTTTGTCTTCATTTTTAAAGTTTTTTTTTAATATAAAAGCATAGATAAATGATGAGAAGAATACGAATGATAATTTAAAGGACAAAAAATTTGGTAAGAATTTTATAAAACATAGAAGCCACTCAAGGATAATTTCATATATAGTGAATTATTTCATACGAACTTTTAACGGGTTTTTCAAGTGGTGATTAATGAATATATTTACTTTTTCATTACAGGTTCCAACAAATGATGCATTTCAACAAAAATAATCAGGATCTATCAAAAGTTGAGTCTCTACAGCAAAAAATCCTGCATTGGGATTTAAATGTGAAGAGATGCATCCAGGTTTGTAGTAATAATTCGAGTTATGGAAAAAGATCTGCATATATGTATATCACAGAAATTTGATGTGTCAGAAAGTTTCAAGTACAGTTAATTTGTATGGAAGTCTTTATTTTAGTATATAGACATATGATGAGTATGAATAGTACCAGTATTGAAACAAAACATTCTACAATGATAAAGGGTAATGAGAACATATTAGAATTATCATTACCTGAGTTAAGAATGTGAAGACAGATATAGTTTACTGGTAAATTTTTTATACTTAATATTTGAATTAAACTCTTTTTTTTTTTATCAGGAGAGTTTGATGTTAATGTAATCCAGTCTAGCAAATCATTCAACGTTTTCTGTAGACTAATCTGTGAAAAGAATGCAAAGTCCAATCCACATAACGATAACAAGTTACTTTAGATCTTTTATATTGTGAGCTTCTGTAAATCAATAGAACCGTAGTATATATTTTAAAAAGTAAAAACACCACAAGTTTTAACAAAAAAACAACAAAATTCCTTTATTAATCCTTAAATAATCTCCAGTCATGTGACTTCTTTGCTTCATACTGTGGATAGGAAAACTACTTAAACCTGATGATAAAATCTTCTCCAAACATTATATATATTTGTTATTGTGTTAAACTTTTAATAAAGTTTTCAGTTACCCATTTAACCTGTTCTCTGAACTGTATAAACTTACCTACTTCATCTCAAGTTATTTCTTGTCATTGAAGACAATTTCTGTAGCTTTCAAATAGATCCAGCTTAACATCAATATTTTCACAATTCACGATGACAAGAATTCTTGCTCTATCCATTTACATTTAAACTTTGTAGTTGTTTTGAAAACTTTGTTTTGTTATTAAATGATTAAACCACTTATTTAGGTTTCAACCAAGGCCTGTAGAAAAACTAAGGGAACTGTTTGAATATCATGAAATGGGTGATATATTCTCAAGGGTTAAAGGCTTTTATCAAAAATAGGGTCTTTCTTTGGACCTGACAGAAAAATGATGAGTAGGTTATTTTGTTTGCAGGCGAAACTTTGGCAGAAATGAAAATATTAACTTTTTTTTTCTTTAATGAATTATATTAAATATGTTTCAGATAAAATATCAGGTTTAAATATTTTTGAGTTAGAATTATTCGAATACTTAGAATTAACATTTATAATTTGTGGTGAAAATTTATGAAAAGCTAGAAGAAGTCGTATCTTCAGGTACAATAAGTTATTAGGTGTATCATAGTACAAAACATCTAACAGCCAGAAAACAATACGATTAATTTTGTTCAATGGGTTTCTTCCTACAAATTTCCACAAAACTACTGAACTACAACTACTGAATTTGTTTGATAAAAATAGACATATTACTTCATGACACTTTCAAACAACAAATTTTTATATAATGTTAATAAACTTAATCATCTTAAAAACATCAACAATAATTTTTTTTAAAAACCACAACTAATTTCGAATATAGGCCTACAAAATGTATACCTCTTTCATTATTGGAAATAAAATTATTTTTCAAAACATGTCCAAAAATCAATACATTATTGACAAACAATACTGTTGTTCTTAAAATAACAAGTAAAAAATTATCAAATCTTGTTAGATGGAGCACTTGTGTTAAAGATGATTCATGAATATTTCGACTTATAATAAACGTGTTTAGAAATCCATACTTTGACAGAATGGATGATCCAGGATATGTTGTAAGGGGGATTCCTTACAACATATAAGTATAATGTATTTAACAATTCAAGAAGCATTAGTATACACTACATGTTCAGTTGAATTGATTCTGCAGATACAGATACATCTACATATATGCCTTTTTTTCTCACAGGATATTCGAGAATGTTCTGGTCCGCTCGAAGATCTGAATACTCTCACCCTGCTTGCAGCAGAAAATATGAAAAAGTTGAAATTGATAGTTGATGTAAGTGTTATACCTCCTTCATGGTAAATTATAAAAATAAAACATTTTGCTATTTATTTCAATCCTTAAAGTGTAGTTGTGCCAACATTGGTGAATCCACACTTTGTTGTTTTTTCTTTCAACATTGTTTATGGAGAAAATCATAATTCTGCTCTCACAAGTTAATGTTTACTTAAACATTTTCTGACAAAGATACTGAAGTAGGTTATATTACATTATAATATAAGTAGGTTATGTTGTACTGAAGTAGGTTATATATTATCATATAAGTAGGTTATATTATACTGAAGTAGATTATATTATATTATCATATAAGTAGGTTATATTATACTGAAGTAGATTATATTATATTATCATATAAGTAGGTTATATTATACTGAAGTAGGTTATATTATAGTATCATATAAGTAGGTTATATTATACTGAAGTAGGTTATAACAGTCTTTTCCTCATAATAATTTTATGGAGTTAGAAATGAAAAGTTCACATATGACACTGATATCTTTAGATCAAATTCTTTAAAGAATAGCCTTTAAAACTCCTATTGCTGACCTTAGAATTTAATTATTCTGTAATAACCCTCTTTCATTTTTCACAGATTGACTGTTTTTACCAAAATACACTTTTTTCCATTCATCCTTGATATTTAGTCTTTCACAATCTGGAACTTCCTAACATCGTTATATTTTGGCATAACCTTTAATTATGTTGTTTGGGTTGAGCTGTCATTTGATAACTGGAGGAATGTGTCTTCCCATACTGAAATATATTTGTAGTGCTATAAATGTTTTCTCTGTACCTGATATAGTTATTCATCTCTCTTCAGTTGGAAAATTATACCAGAACTTCAAGGAATCAACTCAATTTACTTGTGCCCTGTTCTCTCCATGCATGGTCAGGTGGTTAGGGTACTCAGGTCATGGGTAGGATTCCTTGTCCCACTAAACATGCTCACCCTTTAAACTGTGGGGATGTTATAATGTTATTGTCAATCCCACTATTTGTTGGTAAAAGAGTAGCCCAAGAGTTGGTGGTGATGACTAGCTGCCTTCCCTCTAGTCTTACACTGCTAAATTAGGGACAGCTAGTGCAGAAAGCCCTCGTGTAGCTTTGCGTGAAATTCAAAACAGGCCAGACCATGCTTACATGAAAACAGAAGAAACATTGATCAATGAATAAGAAAAGAAAATTTTCAAGTTATCATCTTACGAAGAACAGATATTGAACTATTTATAAAATAAACTATTAATTAATAAATTAATTGTAATTTTAATAACCCACGTTCATTATCTTACATTTATTACAAATGAAACCCATCTACTTCACATGTGCCCAATTCATTAAATGATCTAAATCCTTTTGTAAATCAGCAGCATCAAAGACCTTAATATCATCAGTAAATTTATGTAATTTATTGACCATTCAGTTATCTTTGTAAATTAAAAAGAACACAAATCTCATTACTGAGGTACCCTACTTGTGATGTTATTCGAGTTTGACTGAACTCCATTGATAATAACCCTCAGATTTATTCCATCCAGCTACTCTTCTGTCCAATGAGCCAACTTACATCCCGTAGTGAAAGAGATAATTTTTTAACAAGTCTTTTATATGCCACGTTGTTAAGAGCTTTTTGAAAATCCAGATATACCAAATCCACACCTCTACTGTCATCACCATAAACGGTAATCTAGCTGCCCAGCACCACGTTCACTGAGTTTATCAATTTTTGTTTCAATTGTCAGTGACAGTGTGTTCTGCAGAGAGATGCTATCTTTCAAAAATATGATGAAAGTAATATGATATCAGTTTTACAGAACCTTGAAAACCTGGGAATGGAACAAGACCGACAAAAAGACAGAGAGGAAATTTTAAAGATTGTGAGTCTGTATAGAAAAGAGCTGGCAAGGTAAGACAGTTTTTAGTTTACATAAAAAAGTAGCTTAATTTTAAGTCATAGAATATGTATCAGGCAGGTGGCAGCACTGCCTATGTAGGGATGACTGAGATTGTTCATCAAAATGGTATTTCAAATATTTCCTCAATAAGTCATCAGAACTTTATAATACTATACAGTGTGACCTTATATAACAATATCTATATAATGACTGAGTCAAGTTCTAGGAATGTCAGTAAATATCATAGAAAAAGTTGGAATTTTTTGCTTTTCTTTCTTCTGCTGCTTTTTTATTAGCTGACAAGCCAAGGTATCTGGCTTTGTTCAGGTTATTAGTTTGATATTTTACTGGTCAACTGTGTATGTGTCTATTTTGAACATTGAACTGGTGTATTTAAGTGTTTTATACTCACAAAAAAGAAACATCATTCTATAGGTATTTGAAGAAGTTGTAGCATTCTGCCACAATTTAATTCTTCATATTGTTAGCCGACACTGGGCAGCTTGTACATAATTGATGAGGAGTGGAATTCTTCGAAACTAGTCTGGCTCACAATGACCCCCAATGAAAGAATAGATCATTCCGAGCTTTTTACTTGTTGTTAAACAAATGTTTAAACAACTCTATTTATTCTATTTTGAACATATTTCAGATATGAGAACAGCTAAAAAATCTTTTCAAAGATTTTGTTTTTCCCAGAAACCTATAGAAGTCATCAATTTTATTGTATAATAAAAAGTCTTTGCTGTAAGTTAAGAATTATTTATTTATACCTTAATAACTTTATCATTGCACTGAAAATTTCAGATTACATTTTATTTCACATATTTCTGTCACATTTTATCACTCTGTTTTGCAATGTTTTTCATCCTTGCAGTGCTTCAGAATAGATAATGTTGGTTGTTGATGCCATTTCCTAAATTTAAACTAGACCAACTTCTTTTTTCGAGCGTTCATGTAAAGTCTGAGGCCGATAGAACAAGGATTGTAAGAATACGAGGAAAATTACAAATTTTCAACTCTGTTGCATTTTCATGTGCCAAAATTCTTTAACTGTTTTGTTTGATGTCATTTTCTAAACTTTTTTTTAACCTTTTCTACTATTCTGAGGGTCTGTTCCCCGTGTCTTTGGAAGTCCTGATGCTTTTGGTTTCTTCCATGTTACCTCTGACTGGCTAAGACATGTTTAGCCCCATACCCTATTAAATTTTGTTCACTTTTGGTAAAGTATGTTCTTTTGTTTTAATTTGTGGCCAATTTTGGCAGATTTTTTTACCATTTTGTTCTTTTTCAACGGTATTTGGCAGAAACCCTCCACATATTGTTCATTCAGTAGTGAGAATTAGAAAACATGTGATGCTTTTCTATAGACCTTCAGGAAGCAGAATTATGGGGGCTTAAGGGCTATAGGGCAAAAAAAATTGGCCAAACTGTTTTTTGAATCAAATCTAAAAAATAATCCCTGGATGCACACCCTCAGGATCCCCTTAGTATGCGTGCAAAATTTCAGGTCTCTAGGTTCTTTCCTCTTGGAGCTATGGTTGTCGCACACACAGAGGCAGGCTCTTTTATTATTATTGATAATTCAAAAACCAAAACAGTGGTGTCAACCAAGTTCACTGATGTGACATAGATTCAAACAGAGTATCCACTTTTATATGTATTATTAATAACTAGTAGTATTTTTAAAAAATCATAATTCTAGTGTAAACAATGTTATCATTACCCCCTTGAAGTTAGCTTTCTTACAGAAATGTGGTGTTCCTTTATAAAGCTTAAGTACAGAAGTATAGAATGATATAGGAATTACCAATCAGTAATACAGTTGGAACCTCATTGTACTTAGAACTTGGTCATAAATACAGCCTTCCTATGTCCACTTAAACACTGCATTAAAAAACTAAATAAACAATTAAAGAAAAAAAAACCTTTCAAAAAAGGAAGTAAATGTAGGGTTGGCTAATATCAATCTTTCAAAAAGAATGTAAACAAAATAGTGGGGATGGTGGTTGCATCATTCCTACATAATAACACAGGTAAGAATTAACATATAGCAATATATATAGCTATTCAATCACAACTGAGTTTAATTTATCCTATTTCTGTCTGTTAACATTCTACTCTGTGCCTGTGCTATTATGTATGGTGATGCAAATGCCATCCCAACTATCTTGTTTGTATAGTTTTGAAGGATTAATATTTGTCATTGCTACATTTGCTTCCTTTTTTGAAATATTTTTTCTTTACTTTATTTTTATTATGCTATAGGCTAAGATCAAACTATTTGTATGGTTATTAAGCTACAGGCTAAGATCCCACTATTAGTATGGTTATTAAACTACAGGCTAAGATCCCATTATTTGTATGATTATTAAGCTATAGGATAAGTTCCCACTACTTGTATGATTATTAAGCTACAGGCTAAGATCACACTACTTGTATGATTATTAAGCTACAGGCTAAGATCCAACTACTTGTATGATTATTAAGCTACAGGCTAAGATCCAACTATTTGTATGATTATTAAGCGATAGGATAAGTTCCCACTACTTGTATGATTATTAAGCTACAGGCTAAGATCACACTACTTGTATGATTATTAAGCTACAGGCTAAGATCCAACTACTTGTATGATTATTAAGCTACAGGCTAAGATCCAACTATTTGTATGGTTATTAAGCTACAGGCTAAGATCCAACTATTTGTATGGTTATTAAGCTACAGGCTAAAATCCCACTATTTGTATGTTTATTAAGCTACAGGCTAAGATCCCACTATTTGTATGTTTATTAAGCTACAGGCTAAAATCCCACTATTTGTATGTTTATTATGCTTCAGGCTAAGATCACACTATTTGTATGATTATTAAGCGATAGGATAAGTTCCCACTACTTGTATGATTATTAAGCTACAGGCTAAGATCACACTACTTGTATGATTATTAAGCTACAGGCTAAGATCCAACTATTTGTATGGTTATTAAGCTACAGGCTAAGATCCCACTATTAGTATGGTTATTAAACTACAGGCTAAGATCCCACTATTTGTATGTTTATTAAGCTATAGGCTAAGATCCCACTATTTGTATGGGTATTAAGCTACAGGCTAAGATCCCACTATTTGTATGGTTATTAAGCTTCAGGCTAAGGTCCCACTGTTTGTATGGTTATTAAGCTATAGGCTAAGATTCCACTATTTGTATGGGTATTAAGCTTCAGGCTAAGATCCCACTGTTTGTATGGTTATTAAGCTATAGGCTAAGTTCCCATTAATTGTATGTTTATTAAGCTA